CTGCCATACCTTGTTAATTATGTAATCCAATGGCCTGCCATACTTTGTTAATTATGTAATCCAATGGCCTGCCATACCTTGTTAATTATGTAATCCAATGGCCTGCCATACTTTGTTAATTATGTAATCCAATGGCCTGCCATACCTTGTTAATTATGTAATCCAATGGCCTGCCATACTTTGTTAATTATGTAATCCAATGGCCTGCCATACTTTGTTAATTATGTAATCCAATGGCCTGCCATACTTTGTTAATTATGTAATCCAATGGCCTGCCATACTTTGTTAATTATACTGTATGTTATAATAGTCTGCCATGCCTTGTTAATTATATGCTCTAATGGCCTGCCACACATTGTTAATTATATGATTCAATGGCCTGCTATATCTTTGTTCTGATTTAGATAAGCTGACTGTAAACTCCAGACTGCAGGATGGTTCATGTCTTAGTTAACGATGAAAGTTCTGGTGGTTCTGAAGAAACCTCAACAAAGCCCGACCCACTGTCAGTAAACAGGATGAAAGAAGTCTGACATGAAGGGTCAGCTGGGTCCAGGTACCAGCCTGGACCTCAGGACAACTAAAGACCTGATGTCCTCTGTGGACCAGATGTTAAAACCCTCATTAACATTAAATAATGAGATTTATCAGTTTTAAATGAGGGCTGTCTTTGAAGTCAGACTGAAACCAGCAAACAAAGACCTTCTCAGGTTCTCAGGTTCCACTTCTTCCTGTGGGACTTCCTGAACACCAGGCCCTGCTGTCCAGGTCTGAGACTCGTTGGAGAAACAGTTCATCCCAAACTGAATCAGAGGAGAATCAAAGATTCTTCAGATCTGATCTCTTCAGACTCTCTGTCCTCCCAGCCCTCTGGATCTGGTTCTGGTTCTGGGTCTTTCAGTCTGAGGAGGTTTCATGTCTGAAAGATGCTTCGGCTGATTTTAAGATGCCTCAGCAGAACGTTGTCTCTCAGCTGCACCAAACTTCAGCTCAAACTCGGTAAAATCCTCTGAGGTTTAGTTTTTTCAGAACTCAGTGTTGACTCATGGCTTCAGCAGATATTTTGCTAACAGAGCCTCACTGAGGTCAGACCTTTAAATTATGTTTTGTTTCTTCTTTTTTATTAGTTTAACCCTGCAGAGGGAGAGACGACCTAAAACTGGTGACATTTTTGTGTAAATTGTTAAATAAAACCTGATTTTAGGTGTTTTGTGTGAAATCGACACAGCTGACAGGAGAAAACAGMCCTGAGTGGCAGCAGGACTCCTCTCCGCTCAACGTTCACTCTTTGTTTTATAAGAAGCCTGTTTCCTGCCTGAGAGGGCAGAGTTGAGCTGCGGTTCTGATGCTGCTCGGCCCACGGGTCCAGACAGAACCTCTGCTGACAGACGGAGCTGACAGCAGGCCCGGATGTGCAGGAGGAACAGAAAAAAGCTGTTTCTTTTAGGACAGAAATCTAGATAAATGTTTGTTTGATGAAATYTGATTTCATCGTCTTCCTCTCCTCCAGACGGTTCAGAGAAAATCATCCTGTTTTTTCAGAACCTCCGTGGTCCGTCTGCAGCAGCCGGCCTTTGGTTTGCTCCGGAGCCGCCTGGCATTTAGTCCACAAACACTTGACATTTGGAAATCGTTTTCCTCTGTGAGCGGCGTCAGCGCACTACTTGTACCCCCACCCCCACCCCCCACAACCGGGCCGCACACAAAGACCCAAAGACCCCCGCCAGCACCGGGCCATTAGCTGCTTYATACGGATCAGCTGGAAGGTTCTGACTCAGTCGGGTCTGAGATCGA